GCAGGATATACACAATCTTGTGGTGGTTTTCCGTTCTCTGAGCTGGACACACGATCACTACATACGTTTTTTAACCAGTAATTCTAGTAAGAAACGGAAAACCATTGGGATAAGTCACTTGGCAAGATCTAGTGGTAAAGTACACATCACAGTTGTTTATACATTTATCTTTTGTGGTGATCGAGTCGAGATTGACTATGATCATCACTAAATACTAATTACGAACCCATCACTGAGAAGATAAATGAATCCGTGGTAACGAATATATTTTCTGGCGATTTTGTGGTATCGAAAGAACACCAAAATCAAGCTAGAAAAGATGGGCGAAATTACAGAGACGGTGAAGCAAAGATGGCAGCAACATAAACAGAAAGTTTGGGTGTGAAGAGTTATATAAACAAAAAGTACAGTTAAACAATCACTGGTAAAATTGGTTATAATAATAAATGTTTCTATGAAACCAATTGCATTCTCTTCATAAAGTGGATTTACTACATATCGTTCAAGAGTTAGAAAACGATAAGTGAGCTGAGATAATGACCATTTGCACTGTCGACCTCTATCAATATCATATCTTGCTCAAGAAATTTCATCGATTGCTTGAACTTCACATGACATCAGGGCTGTCTGACCTCACAGGTACTTACTTTGGTGTAAACCGCATTTTCAACAGTAATAGTAAAATGCTAACAGATATGAGTTATTTCACAAAGTCGGATATAAACGTAATTTCAACCTCTTGTGTCTAATAATTATCTTCATTTTCTCTATAAGATTGATTTCAAAGTTTTGTTTATAAGGGATGTGTTTAATTTTCATTGATGGTAGGCACGGAAAATAATGCAGTGAATAGAGCTTCTCAAAGGAAGACTATTATCTGCTTCATATATTGTTACATAATCAAAAGTTTAATAGTCTTATTTCATGTACTCTTTCTTTTAAGCTTTATCTGAACTCGTGACAACTATCTACTTTTTATTTGTCTTTCTTAGGATTAAATATGGACTAACTTAAAGTTTGTTTTAAACTATCTATATTCTTGTGGTCACTGTTTCTAATCCTCTAAGTTAATTAAAACATACTTTTTATAAACTTGCGTAATTAACACTTGACTTTATATTGACTGATAATATAGAGGTTCTTTTAGAACTACAAAATAGTATTGCATGACAATAACTTTTCAGTGTGATCAGATTTAAAACACTATTTATAGCCGAATCTTTGAGTATTGGTAAATACAGTATGATTTTATGAAGTAGGCTGTATTTGTTCATGAGAAAAATTATCATGTTCAGCAGTTCGCTTCGTCTTATTATCCTGTTATGAAACATGGCTAGTAAGAGTGGAAGATATTCATCGGCTTCTAGTATTCAATCATAGGTGTCTTCGATTTATTGCTCGTATATCCTGGGACCGCCGAGTAAGCAATCCTCGTGTTAGGAAACAGGTACTGGTCAAGGATGGCAGATCAATTGGCGCGGTACTTAATCTTGATGACTTGAGGTGTTACGTATGCCTAAGCACTGACTGCCTCGACGAGAAATATTATGTGATGAGGGAGTAGACTGGAAGAAGGTTACAGGATGGCAAACCAAAACGTGACACAAACCCATGAAGTTATTGACAACCTGACTAAGCCATATTAGTAGATAAAGACTAACTGGTTGCGGTTCGCGAGACATTAGTAACCGATGATTAGAGACCTTGAATGATATGGTTCAAAATCTTTTGCAATGGTGCAGATGCATCCATTCTTTGTCTTCGCTCACATTCCTATCTTCTGAATCCATCATGACCTTCATGTATCTCTGCTCAAATTTATTTTACCGGGTTATACTTCTTGAACAGCATTTCCAAACCATAATCTTTTTGATTACTGCTAATAATTCTATTACATCTGCTACTATAGGATTTCAACTGATCATTTGATCTGTGTGCATATATGATATGGCTACTTGATGATGAATAAATGTACGAAATTCTACGTTGTACTTGACTGACTGAACCTGATTACACAACCTTCAATATGTGGGATGGATGGAATATGGCTAGTAGTGTTATCCAGGACGCTCATCTTACCCTATTTGGGACTCTTCCATGTACCTGCCACCTCTCATAATTTATGTTAAATCCGAGATTCGAACCCAAAACTGTTCGTTTCAGACGAAAATGCATTAACCACTTAGCTACTGAGTCCAGATAGCTATTTATTTGTGAATCGGGTTTGGGATTTAATCAAATTTCAAATGGTTCAAATTATCCCGTTGTTGACTGAAATCTGTTTAGTCTGCTTTGGCATATGGACATTCACTGCTGATTGATTCGTTATTTCCCAACCGTAGCTGCAACCTTGACGTAGTGGTCGGGCTAGCCTATCGTTATGACCCAACTGAGCTATAATGGTTGGAACATATGTTCCTAAAGGTTCTAATATGCCAGACAGGTAGATTGGATAATGATGAAACTAAACGCAGCTACTCAAGGTCTGAAGGAGCAGTCGTACTGCTGACTGCAGAGGAGTGTGACAGCAGTAAGGTGTTTGCCTCGGACAACCAGCATCTGCAGCGATGCTGCCTTCTCACAAGGAAGGAAGGGTTAGAAAAGGTCGACCCTAAAAATGTCACTCCTCACCCTACCTCACGGATTTCCGTCTCCGTCGGTAAGAGTGTCCACTAAGGGCTTTTAAGAGCGAAGCTAATGCTCAAAAAACCCTTAACAAAAAGACCATGCGTGACCGGCCTCAAGCAGTTGTCCCTTGGGCTCTGTGGTCACGCAACCGGGTCGTTGGGACCGATATTAATATGCCTTCTTTTTCAGGTTCCTCAAGAAACACCCTTCCATGGTGTGGGCAGCCGGGAAGTGACAACTGCCCGCATACCCGTAACAGCACACGAGATCACATTGGTCAAAATTAAATCCTTCCTACACCCCCTAACATCTTCGCAACTAACTCTTCTCACATTCCTTTATCACCCCGCACCTCTGCTGCAAACGATTCGAGTCCTCGAAACGTTATTCCTGGTCTCTTGAAGCCCCGTTCTAAATTACATATTGGAGCATTTAATGTACGGACATTGTGTCAAATAGGGCAACAGGCATCATTAGCTAGGACTTTAGAATCTCACGCCATCGACGTTTGCTGCGTCTCGGAAACGCGCATACAGGATCCTAGTAAAATCATTAATTTGATTTCACCTTATCAAAACAAAGAACCAAATCGACTTACCCTTCGTGTATCTGGAAGTCCTGATGCTGCTTCCCAGGGTTTCGCTTGCGTAGGTATAGCATTGAATCCTAGGGCAGCTTGGAATGATATCAAAAAAGCTGTGGAAACAGCAGCGATTAAATCTTAAATCCTAATCTTCTCGATTCGTCAACACCTCTACCTTTATCTTTCTAAACTTATCTCACTGAATTATACATGTTGAATATTATCGTCAAATCTTAATCTTCTCCATTACCACTAATACTTCTGCTGTCTCTACCACTATAGGATTTGAATTGACAACTTCATCTCTGTGCGCTAATGTGATATGGCAACATGAACTGATGTACTTACGTACGAAGTTGTACGTTACATCTAACTGACTGACTGATTCATTATCAAGTCATTGTGATAGAAGTTTCAAACACTTGTTCTGTTTACTATATATCAGATGTACATTCAAAATACCTTTAACATGCTTGGATTTTCTTTCATTTTTTGTATTATGAGACTGATTACCTTTTGACAGATAAGAAAAACCTAATTTAAGTATAATTTCTATCAATGACTTGTCAAATAAAATATGAAAGATCATTTAAACAACCATTTATTACAAAACACTAGGTATATATATATATATATATATATATATATATATATATATATATATATATATATATGAATAAAAAACAATATTACTGATATTATCAATAGTAGTAGTATTGGTAGTAGTAGCAGTAGTAGTAGTAGACCAATAAATTAAAGACATGAATTTATTAAATAACTGATATACTATGTTTATTATCTAATATCAAGTTTATTTGTTTTTCAAAAAAAACAAAACAGTTTCTAAATTAATCAACCGTTGGTTTGAAAATGAACAGAAAGAGCGTATAAGAGAAAAACTGCCTAACCGAATGAATAAATCACAGGTTTAATTCATTGAATAGTCTAAAGAATAATATTCTTTTTCACACACGCACACACACACACATACACTCACACCAATTTAAACACAATCAAATAAAAATTGTTCAATATTCAAACTGTCAACTAATAAGTAAAACAAACACACAAATACACTACTAGAACACGATAATTGTGTAATGTAATTTTTTTTTTGTTCAAGACACAAGTGTGAATTACAACACTAAAATTCCTGAGATTGATTTGCTGCCCTTTATTATTAAATATTGTTGTATATGTTTCCCAATTTAAAATGTATGTGGAATAATTATGTTGTTTTTTTTCTGCTGTGGATATTGACTATTGAACAAACAACAAGTGAGTCAATACAAACAATGGAAAAAAAAGATTTAGCACCGAAATCAAAATCAATTCTTATTCGGTTTATCACACAGATTTTTTCTTTTTGTCTTAATCACTAGAGAATTTTTTTTATCTAAAAGAACTAAAATTCGATCATTCAAATGAATGAAATCAAATAAACAATGAAAATGAGGTAGAATTTTGGATGAAAGTTGCATGCATGCAAAAAAGTGTTATTGCTTTGTTTTCTCTTAGAGAATTTTTTTTTTCACGTAACACAACCAGCCAGCCGAATGTCCCTGTATGAAAAAAGAATGATGGTCACAAAAAATCGTGATAAGTTTCGGTAAAAAGATTGGAAGATTAGCTAAATGTTTCGACTTTTCAATGATGATTACGAATGAATCCCTGGTTTTTTTTGCATCGGTACACGATCTGCATGTCGAAAAATTCAATAAAACGTTTATTGAACACATTGAATACGATTAGAATGCAAAACAACTGCACAACAAATGCAAATTTCATATTAAACATCTTCATTAGCTAGAAATAATTCTTGAAAATACCATGGTAATTGATTGAGACCATTCATCATTGTTCCAGGAGTTTGTGAGAATAAATCTTGTGCACACATTGTAACTGAACGTAATTCAGTCAGTGTCATAATAATTCTTGGCCAACATTGTGAACTTGATATTGGATAAGTAGTAGTAGTAGTAGTACTAGATTGTTTCAATGGACCACGTGTTCGATTCACATGACGATTGAATGTTTCCAAAAGATTATTTTGATTATTCTCTATTGTGTCCACATCTAACAAATCACTACGATCTGGAGAGTGTATTTTGTTTTTTAAAACATAAAGATGAAAGGAAAAAAAGGAACATAACAATGATTATGACTTAGAGAGTGTACAACAGGAGACTTTGAGCATGAATACATGAAATTATTGATTGATTATAAGTGTGAGCTGTGAAATTATAGTTGTAATAGAGGCGATAATTGTGACATATATTTGTATGTTGTATGTTGGGAAGATTATTAAGTTACACATTTGAAATCGTGAATCGATCAATGTTAGGCCATCATTAGAAACCTGGAAGTACTGAACTGTCGTTTCGTCCTGTTATGGGACTCATCAGCAATGTACATCCACGATTTCCGCACCTCGCAGTATTCGAACCCGGGGCCTTTGGTCTTGAGCACCAACGCCTAACCTCTGAACCTCTGGATGAGTATTGCTAATGAGTCCCATACCAGGACGAAACGACAGTCCAGTGCTTCCAGGTTTCTAATAGTGGTCTAACATATATTTCTGACAAACTCTACTGCTGAACATTAACAACTTTTAGTACATCCGCATACATATGAGTTTGTTTATATTTAATTTGGTTAAACCTTTGGATTAACTTATTGAACCGAGTCATTTGTGTAGCAATAACTTATATGTACTATTGGCTTTCATTATTGTCTGGTTTGTATGAGCTGGTACAACTAAACTTTTTTTGCCACCTAAGCGCATCTTCACCCTATTCGCTTTAATATAAGCCATTTAAACATTTCGATGGCTCATTCATTTTCCTATATACATATACGTGCAACATTTTAATCTCATTCACTAATTCGTTAACTCCCTCAGCCGGTTGCCTGCATTTTGGCACTTGCATACTGATTTTTGCTCTGTGAGCCTGTAATGTGGTGGTCTAATTGTGCTGCGCCGAATAAACGTACTCAACACTTTGTATTCATCTTCTGATTGATAAACTGTGAAGAGTTATTTAGTAACAGTTGTCTGGACGAACAGTGTTAGGCAGTCATAGAACATATCGAATACCGATGGCCACGAAACTAGTCAAGCATCGGCTACCACAAACTCATTCAAAACCAATTAATAATCTATGCTCCATGATAGATTAACAAGCTTTGATTAAATAAGGCATATTACTCAGTTTGAGTAAATTAACTGTTACATTAAAACTTCATATGATTAATAAGAGATACAGGTTTCAATGGCGAGCAGGTATTTATGAGAAGCGAGTGAATGTACGTACTACAGTTAACGAAAGACATTCTCTATCTGAGTCTGTCTGCATCGATCCGGTGACTAATATCAATTCATTTCTATCTTATTCTGAAAATAAAGTTTCTGGTACAGTTAGTATCTTTTACAGTCAAGCAATGGGTTTGGCTAAGCGTTACATGTTGCGTAACTCGCATACATAAAGCATTACTTAAAGCTAAACAATACAGTCTGTACTTGATAAATAAGTGAGCAACAATTTTAAATGGGGTAGCATTTAGGGAAAATTTTAAAGATTTCCCGTTTCCGAACCTTATACATCTATAAACATGAGATAGCCAGTAAAATAAAGTGTTTTATTTGACTGAAATTAAAAAAAAACCAATAGAAGCGAAATAATATTTGGAGGTTTTATAGTTATTTGACAAATACTGACATGGGCAAGTGTTTATAAAACGCGAAAACATGACACCAAATGTACTGTAGTGAATGAGAACACAGGTGGGGCAACCGAATTGTTACTCAGTAAAATTGGAAAACCATATCGTAAATTGTTCATTTGCAAAATATCAGTTCATCCTATCGAACTGGACTGTTCCTGTTGCCAAACATCAATCCATTGTCACTATTCATGCGTTTCATACAAATTCCATTGTTTTCTAACTCTTCCTTTCTTGATCTTCCCCCATCTTCGGCTGCCAGACATTACGTTGACGATGACGTCATATACTGTGGTGCTGTGTTGCGAACTACTTATAAGTAGTATATAGCGTGAGTGTCAACGTAAAGTCTGGTAGCATAATACGGGGGGAAGATCAAGAAAGGAAGAGTCAGAAAACAATGGAATTTGTATGAAACGCATGAAGAGTGACAATGGATTGATGTTTGGCAACAGGAACAGTCCAGTTCCATAGGATGAACTGATCTTTTGCAAATGAACGATTTACGATATGGTTTTCCGATTTTACTGACTAACTCTGTAATTTTCGTTAAACACAATTCGGTTGCCCCCACTTGTGTTCTCATTCACTACATTTGGTGTCGCTGCCTGCTTGAAGGAAGGGGCTCCCGTGGCCGAAGGAGTTGCAGGACGGAGATTGGCGGAGCTTCCTGGAGGAGTTTGGGGCCACGGTGGAGCGGGTGGGGGCTTGGGGCGGAGTTGACGGTGCTGGGGACGCTGTGGGGAGGTGAGGCGAAGGCGGTGCACGACAGCCTGGACGGTGCCACCAAGGAGACGGCGTGGGAGACGGTCACCGGGCGGCTGATAATGGAGTTCGACAGCCCAGCGGACAGTGAGGAGGCGCCGCAGAGGTTCCGGTTGGCGCGGCTGTCGGCCGATGGTGACCTGTTGGTGCTTGCTGTGGAGCTCACCGGATTGCGCCGTGAGGAGTGGACGGGGCACAGTCTTTGGCGTCGCAATTTATCGAGTGTGTGCCTGCCGCCGTGCTCCAGCATCGGGAACTTGTGGACGCTACACGTTGGATAGATGCCGTATCCATTCCAGACCAGTGATCAAGAACGATGACCGGAGTGGTAATCCGGCATAGTGTAGCGTGTCACGGAATACGGAAGGTGATATTAACTGACCAGGAGCTCTGTTTTGAAGGACCACGACGACAGCTTATTAAAAGGGGGGACGAGTGTGGTGCTGTGTTGCGAACTACTTATAAGTAGTATATAGCGTGAGTGTCAACGTAAAGTCTGGTAGCATAATACGGGGGGAAGATCAAGAAAGGAAGAGTCAGAAAACAATGGAATTTGTATGAAACGCATGAAGAGTGACAATGGATTGATGTTTGGCAACAGGAACAGTCCAGTTCCATAGGATGAACTGATCTTTTGCAAATGAACGATTTACGATATGGTTTTCCGATTTTACTGACTAACTCTGTAATTTTCGTTAAACACAATTCGGTTGCCCCCACTTGTGTTCTCATTCACTACATTTGGTGTCGCTGCCTGCTTGAAGGAAGGGGCTCCCGTGGCCGAAGGAGTTGCAGGACGGAGATTGGCGGAGCTTCCTGGAGGAGTTTGGGGCCACGGTGGAGCGGGTGGGGGCTTGGGGCGGAGTTGACGGTGCTGGGGACGCTGTGGGGAGGTGAGGCGAAGGCGGTGCACGACAGCCTGGACGGTGCCACCAAGGAGACGGCGTGGGAGACGGTCACCGGGCGGCTGATAATGGAGTTCGACAGCCCAGCGGACAGTGAGGAGGCGCCGCAGAGGTTCCGGTTGGCGCGGCTGTCGGCCGATGGTGACCTGTTGGTGCTTGCTGTGGAGCTCACCGGATTGCGCCGTGAGGAGTGGACGGGGCACAGTCTTTGGCGTCGCAATTTATCGAGTGTGTGCCTGCCGCCGTGTTCCAGCATCGGGAACTTGTGGACGCTACACGTTGGATAGATGCCGTATCCATTCCAGACCAGTGATCAAGAACGATGACCGGAGTGGTAATCCGGCATAGTGTAGCGTGTCACGGAATACGGAAGGTGATATTAACTGACCAGGAGCTCTGTTTTGAAGGACCACGACGACAGCTTATTAAAAGGGGGGACGAGTGTGGTGCTGTGTTGCGAACTACTTATAAGTAGTATATAGCGTGAGTGTCAACGTAAAGTCTGGTAGCATAATACGGGGGGAAGATCAAGAAAGGAAGAGTCAGAAAACAATGGAATTTGTATGAAACGCATGAAGAGTGACAATGGATTGATGTTTGGCAACAGGAACAGTCCAGTTCCATAGGATGAACTGATCTTTTGCAAATGAACGATTTACGATATGGTTTTCCGATTTTACTGACTAACTCTGTAATTTTCGTTAAGTACAATTCGGTTGCCCCCACTTGTGTTCTCATTCACTACAATACTACTTATAAGTAGCTCACACCACAGTACCATTCGCACATCTTTTTTAAGTCGATGGTTCGAATCTCCAATAATAATTAGTTTTTCTATCTTTTCTTTACATTTCTCTCTCTTGTGAATAAGAATTCTATTACCTACTCCCATTATATACTACTTATATATGTCTGTGTAAGTAGTGTACATAAGTGTTGACAAAATAACTGTTTGAAGTGCTCAGAATGAATTGTGTATCATCTTTGAACGTACAAATTTTTTTTTATTCTCAAGTTTAATAGACAGATGACAGAATACACTGTCATTTATTATAAACATATACATGTATAGAATGAAATAAAAATTGTTATAACACTAAGTAAAATTAATGTTAGGTTAAAAGCAGCTTAAAAAATATCATATTGCTTGTTATTAAAGTGAATTTCACTGTACACAATATCTGTGATGTAGGTCACTCACTACCAAATGCAGCATATATCCACTTAAATGTACAATACAAATGGATGCAACAGGCAAGAATAGATAGATAGATAGATAGATAGATAGATAGATAGATAGATAGATAGATAGATAGATAGATAGATAGATAGATAGATAGATAGATAGATAGATAGATAGATAGATAGATAGATAGATAGATAGATAGATAGATAGATAGATAGATAGATAGATAGATAGATAGATAGATAGATAGATAGATAGATAGATAGATAGATAGATAGATAGATAGATAGATAGATAGATAGATAGATAGATAGATAGATAGATAGATAGATAGATAGATAGATAGATAGATAGATAGATAGATAGATAGATAGATAGATAGATAGATAGATAGATAGATAGATAGATAGATAGATAGATAGATAGATAGATAGATAGATAGATAGATAGATAGATAGATAGATAGATAGATAGATAGATAGATAGATAGATAGATAGATAGATAGATAGATAGA